ATTGATTGTGGGTGATTGGATGAATGACAAATATAGGATGCTTGGTATGTTAAGTCAAAACCCGAGCACAATAAGGTCCTATTAAACACATATTAACATGTATAGGCCTATAATTAGTGTCTATAACAACTTACAAGCATAAGAAACAACCTTAGAATGTAGGAAACACTTACAATAAAGTGTTAGAATAAAAAATGAGGGACATAAAGGAGTTCACGGCTAACCACCATGGGTTTACGGCCCAAGATTTGTTCACGGACCATGAACACATGAAGGGTTTACGGCCCAAGATGTGTTTACGGCCCATGAACACATGAAGGGTTTACGGCCCACTCATGAAAACTTGAAGGGATTACGGCCCATCTATGAAGGGTTCACGACCCTATGAAGGGTTCACGGCCGTGAACTCTTCAAGATCATAAAGATGGTGATGAAAGTGATGAATCAATGGATGAATGTGAAGCACTTTACATTAATAAGATGAATAACAAGTGAAAAAGGGGAGAATCACTTACTCTTGTGGGGGTGAAAAGAGAGCTTTTGTTGGATGAGACTTGAGAGAATCTTGAGGAGTTTTTGACCAAGGAGGGAAGATTTATATATTGATGGGTTTGGAGCATCCTAACACTCCTATGGTGTACATGCAACTCTAGAAACCTTGGATCTATGTTTTACTATGAATACATGCAAATTTGTTTTTCCAAGGTTCATAACCTATCTAGCATGGCATGGGGAATTTTAAACATAAAGGCTAGATGAATTACATACCTTTCAATAGTGAGTTGATTCCTTGGAGTTTGAGAGCCAAGCACCAATAATGCGGATGCCTCAAATGGAAATCACAAATCACCACAAACTTTGGAAAAACTATGAGAGTGTATGTTTGCTTGTAGAAATCGGCCACCTTCTGACACACACACTTAGTGCCATTTCACGCATCATAATCTCCTTTATATAGTGTGGGGAATTAGGGTTACATCCATGTAAACCCTAATACCCATGACTCTTCCTTTCCAAGGATCCATGGGTTAAAATCTCCATGGACTATCCATGGACTCCCATGCATGCCAAACCCATTCCAAATGAGTATTAGCCCACACTTATATAAATACAAGAGCCCATATTTAATCACCTTTTTGATCACCAAATTAATTCTAAATTAATTTATGATCAATAATAATTAAATAATATGATTTCATATTAATATATTATAACTTATAATATATTAACAAAGCATAAACATACCATTCTCAAAGGTTTAACCATACAAATAGTTCGGGTGAAGTGCAACCCAAATGGACCATGCCGGGTCGGGTCAAGTATATACCAAATAAAGTTATTGACTTAGACACCTTATCCAACAGTCTCCCACTTGGATAAGTCTAATAACTATATTTGACTATATTACTACAGGAACCAACCGACGATCGTAGCTCTTAAAACTCTGTTGAACTATGAAGCGCCATTTTAGATAAGTGATCATATAATCCTCTGTTCTCAATATATCAGCCGAACAAAAACATGGAACAACATCGTACTTATTGTCCAACAGTTTGTTTCCCGATTTCCGATTTGTTTGACATAGAACTCAACTGAACACATCAACTTAGTTCTGACCGGGCCCGATACATAGGTCAAAATAAAATCATCGAGGGGCCCAAATATCGCTTCTAATCCTCCAAGGACTAGAAGGAACAGATAGACTTCGACTCATATACTTGTTCTACTACTTGTTGAATTATACACAAAGTCACGTTTTATAACATCAAGTTACTGATGCGTTTTCGTGCAATCAATGCACAACCAACTCATATCTCTAGGTTTGAAGACTTATATGATATTACCATCTCACGATCACTCGAGATAAATTCCATGAAGTGATGCAAGTGAGCGTGGGTTTATTCCTATACTCAGAATTTATGAGCACTCATGAATGTTTTAGCAACCATTGCTATGACTAAACACCTTTAGTCATCTACAAGCCCAATTCATGACAGTCTTAATTCATACCTACTTCCGACGTATGACCGACTGTGGAAGTTTGAATAAAGTAATTTATTCTGGAAGTCAAAACATGCAAAGCTGAAACAATAGTAAATAATTGACAAAAGACAGTAACACCTTACTCATAAATAAACACACCTTTTATTCATCATCAAATGTCGATTACATTTTACAAGTTTCAGAAAAAGCTATCTAATATGTAAAACTAATATCATCCTTCAGCCCGATGCGCCTCACATGCTGTAAATGCCTAACCCTCGTCAGTCCCTTCATGAGGGGATCTGTAGGATTCTCTTCTGATGATACCCTCTTTGCCACGAGGAGTCCTTCTTCTATCTTGTGTCTTATGAAGTGATATTTTCTATCAATGTGTCAGGATCTGCCATGATCTCTCAGTTCCTTGGCTAAGGCAACCACACTATTGCTGTTACAGAAAATCTCCATAGGCTCCTTAATAGCTGGTACAACTCCAAGGTCTCCGATGAAGTTCTTCAGCCATATTGCCTCCTTTTCCGCTTCATTCGCTGCTATGTACTCTGATTCATAGGTCGAATCAACTACCGTTTCCTGCTTGGAACTCTTCCAAGTGATTGCCCCTCCATTTAGAGTAAAGACCCAACCCGAATGAGAGCGGAAGTTATCCCTATCAGTCTGAAAGCTAGCATCACTATACCCTACTACTCTCAAGTCATCACTCCTACCAAGGGTAAGGATCCAATCCTTAGTTGTCCGCAGGTACTTGAGAATATTCTTTACCACAGTCCAGTGAGCCTTGCCAGGGTTCCCCTGATATCTGCTGACCATGCTCAAAGCGAAGGTCACATTAGGGCGGGTACAAGTCATAGCATACATGATCAAGCCAACAGTGGAAGCATATGGTAATCAACTCATCTCAGCTATCTCAGCCTCTGTACTCGGGTTCTGAGCCTTGCTCAGTTTGGCATTGCTTTGGATCATTAATTCTCCTTTCTTGGAATTATGCATGTTGAACCTTTTCAACACCTTGTCCAAGTAGGTACTCTGACTAAGTCCAATTAGTCTTTTACTCCTGTCTCTTAATATCCTTATCCCTATGATATAGACAGCCTCTCCAAGATCCTTCATAGCAAAACATTTTCCAAGCCAGGACTTCACCTCCTGCAAGGTTGGGATGTCATTTCCTATGAGCAGTATGTCATCCACATACAACACCAAGAAGCTAACTATAATCCCACTAGATCTGACATATACACAGGACTCATCTTCACTTCTCAAAAAGCCAAACTCTTTGACTTTCTCATCGAAACAAAGATTCCATCTGCGAGGTGCTTGTTTCAATCCATAGATGGATTTCTCAAGCTTACACACTCTATCAGGGTACTCTGCACTGACAAAACCCTCTGGCTGATTCATGTAAACATCCTAAGCCAGCTTTCCATTAAGGAAAGCGGTTTTGACATCCATTTACCATATTTCATAGTCATTAAATGCAGCAATGGCAAACATAACCCTAATAGACTTAATCTTCGCAACTGGTGAAAAGTTCTCATCATAATCAACTTCCGGAGTTTGAGAAAAGCCCTTTGCAACCAGTCGCGCCATATAAGTGTGTACATTACCATCCATGTCGGTCTTCTTCTTGAAGATCCATTTGCACCCGACTGTCTTACGACCTGGTACATTGTCAACCAAGTTCCAAACTTGATTGTCATACATGGACTGTATCTCGCTGTCCATAGCCTCTTTCCATTTAGCAGCCTCAGGGCCTGCCATGGCTTCCGTGTAGCTGTTAGGTTCATCCAGATTTACCAGTATGCTATCACTGATAAGTGTATCACCTTCCGCAGTAATATGGAAACCATAGTAATGCTCAGGTGCATTCCTAACTCTCGTGGAATGCCTCAGAGGTACAGACTCGTCAGTTGGATCAACACGATTTTCCTCCTCAGGTTGATTGCTAGGGTTTGAGGTTCCTTCACCACTTGACTCTTGAATTTCTTCAAGGTCAATTTGCCTCCCACTGTTTCCTTGGCTCATGAACTCTCTCTCATGAAAGACCCCTATCCTTGCCACAAAGACCACATTCTCACTGGGTCTGTAGAAGAGGTAACCAAAGAATTTCTGTGGGTAGCCGATGAAAATACACCTCTCACTTCGAGGTTCGAGATTATCGTGAGTCTCGCGCCTCATAAAAGCCTCGCAACCCCAAATCTTGATGTGGTCCAAGTTGGTAACTTTCCCAGTCCACCTCTCATGAGGCGTTTTGGCAACCTTCTTTGTAGCGACTAGATTAAGGATATGGGCGGAAATCTCTAAGGCATACCCCCAAAAAGAGATTGGTAGCGAAGCTGAACTCATCATGGAGCGAACCATGTCCAACAAGGTTCGATTACGCCTCTCAGCCACACTATTCAGCTGTGATGTCCTGGGAGGTGTCAATTGTGAGACAATCCCACACTCCTTAAGATAGTCGAGGAACTCTGTGCTAAGATACTCACCACCTCGATCGGATCGAAGCATCTTAATGTTCTTGCCCAATTGATTTTCTACTTCCTGTTTAAACTCTTTAAACATTTCAAAAGTTTCTGACTTATGCTTGATTAAGTAGACATAACCATATCTACTATAATCATCAATAAAAGTCAGATAATAGCGATTAGCATGTGGCGGTTTCGAAGGGTCCACATACATCAATATGTATAAGGTCCAACAAACCCTCACCCCTTTCACAAGTACCAGTGAAGGGTGATTTTTTTATTTTCCCAAGCAAACAAGATTCACAACTATCATCTGACTTTAGGTCAAATGACTCCAACACTCCATCCTTTTGGAGTTGGCCTATGCGTTTCTTGTTTACATGTCAAAGACGACAATGCCACAATGATGCTTTATCCAAGCTAGTAGAGGAATCAATACACAACACATTATTTCCTAGGTTATCTAGAACCGACACAGTTTCATACACACCATCACAAGGTAATGCTTTAAAATAAAGAACATTATTAAAGAAAGCATTAATATCACCGCATTTATTATCAAACGAAAAGGTAAACCCTTGTTTGTACAAACCATGAAAAGAAATAATATTCCTCACCATTTCGGACGAGTAAACACATTTATTCAAATCTAACTTTAACCCACTACTTAGAAACAAAGTATAAACTCCAATCTTGGTAACATGTGAAGCCTTCCTATTCCCCATGATTAAGTTTATCTTCCTGTGCTCCACATCCTCACTTCTTCTTAGGCCCTGCAAATCACAACATATGTGAATACCACAACCTGTATCAAGGACCCAAGAGTTAGAATATGGTGAGTCATTAGACAATATAGTGTAAATACCTGCATGGGACGGTTTCACTTTCCCATCCTTGACATCCTGCAAGTACTTTGGACAGTTTCGCTTCCAGTGCCCCTTATTCTGGCAATAGAAGCAATCAACATCCTTAGGGATGGCAGAAGGAGTAGTAGAACCACCTTTGGTTCCACTTGATGAGGAGCCATCAAGAGACTTTCCCTTGGTACCCTTCGAACCGGTCTTCCTCTTCTTCCCTTTGTCTTGCCCGATAGCCAAAACAGGGGTAGCTGTAGGAGTAGGAGTAGTAACAACCGACTTACCTTTAAGACCATTTTCGGCGGTCTTCAGAAGTCCTTGAAGCTTGATGAGTGTAACTTCCTCCTTGTTCATGTGGTATGTCATGCAGAATTGATCATCACACGAGGGTAGGGAGTGCAAAATGATGTCAATTGCCAACTCCTCAGGGATGTTCACATTTAATTTTTGCAAACGGTCCACATACCTTTGCATTTTCTGCATGTGGCCCATGATGGGTTCACCATCCTTCATTCGGGTTGTTATCATGGAGGAGATTATGTCATACCGCTCTTGACGAGAACTCTGATGGTACCTTTCCATCAAGTCCTGGTGCATCTCAAAAGGGTAATAGTCCTCATAGGACTTTTGGAGCTCGGCTATCATCGTGGCCATCATGATGCATGCCACTTTGGTGGCATCTCTCTCATGTGTCCTGTATTCAGCGATCTCCCCAGGAGTAGCAGTAGACTCATCGAGTTCCTTAAGCTCCTTGTCGAGGACATATTCCTTGTCCTCATAACGAGTGACCATCCTGATGTTCTGGATCCAATCCATAAAGTTGGAACCATCGAAGATGACTCTCCCACAAAGGTTCGTGAGAGAGAAGGAGCCGGTAGGGTTAGAGACCAAAGCATTGTTGGAAGACATCTGAAAAGAAGAAAGACAAGTTTAGATTAGATATATAGAGTCCTTAATAAGACACCCAAATGTAATATTAAGGCTAGGACCCAACACAATATATTATAACTTAGAAGAGGGATGCCGTAATGTAAGTTATAACATATTTGAAGGTAGGTGAATGACGATTCACCAATTTCCACCATGAAAACGAAATGAATTATTAGGTTTAATTGGTTTTGAAATTCCTAGATTCTTTTGAGATTCATTGAACTTTTCAATGGCATGTTTCAATCTCGATTGTGCCCTTCAAGTTTTATGACTGGGATGCCGAGGATCACAAAACAAGGTGTGAATAACCATGCAAATTCACTTGGTACCCTTAATATTATCACCTAATCAATGTGCCGGTTAACCATACGCGCTCCACCGATCTATGATAAACATTAAGTCACCCTTTGTTATCCTTACTAGTCCAAGTTAGTGTGCCGGTTAACTACACACGCTCCACCAACGATTTGGTAAGGTAAAAAGTGTGAATTTCATGGGTTAGCACCATTTTCACATTTTCCTAAAGTAACTAAGATTGAGAATTTATAAAACATTTAGTTACTTTATAATATTCGTTATACTTTTAATGAGAATTAAAGTTATTGTCCTACCCGTTCGACTAACGACCCTCCACCGATCAAGGAAGCGGTGGGTGAGAGTGGACACCCATTAAGCAGCCATTTTATAGGCAACAACCTTATACCCCCTTATAGACCGACTTCGTGAATGAGACCTACTAACGGTAAAACGACTTGATCTTATATATATATATATATATATAAATATTAACCATTAATCTTATAATAGTATAAGGGTTGAATTTTAACTTTTAAAATCCTAAGGGTTGGAATTAAAGTGTGTGTGAATTTACAAATTCCAAAACTTGAGGGATAGTTTTGAAACTATTCAAAACTTTTCATTTCATAACTTATGAGTTAAAGGTTCATAAAAGTGAACACTCTTCATTTTTTATGTAACTTATGTGTTTTAAATGTACATTAAAGAAAGTGATCTTTGGAAATCCATAACTTGAGGACAAATTATGGATTCCATTAAAACACATAATTTATCAATAATTAATCATTAAACAATTTAGCAAGTAATTCCTATGATTTAACAATAACTCATAAGAACATGAATATCATATCAAAACTTCAAGAATCATATGAATACATATAAAACATGGAATTTTGATATTAGCCATTGTAAATGGATTAGCATAACCATTACACCATCTAAAACAAGTTTTAAAACACCAAAACAGTTTAGGGTAATGTTTGTAGTCCATTTCCAGCAGCAAAAGTCAAAAAACTGCAGTCAGAGCCTCATACTCGTTGAGTGCAGGAACCTACTCGACGAGTAGGATGAATTTATACTTGGACTCGTCAAGTCCCCCCATGGACTCGGCGAGTCCACTGTCCAGACAGCTCAATTTTTTGATTTTTTTCACAGTTTGCATCAAGTATTCAAGAAAACAATCCTAGGTTCTGATACCACTGAAGGGTTTTGAGCATCCTAACACTCCTATGGTGTACATGCAACCCTAGAAACCTTGGATCTATGTTTTACTATGAATACATGCAAATTTGTTTTTCCAAGGTTCATAACCTATCTAGCATGGCATGGGGAACTTTAAACATAAAGGCTAGATGAATTACATACCTTTCAATAGTGAGTTGATTCCTTGGAGTTTGAGAGCCAAACACCAATAATGTGGATGCCTCAAATGGAAATCACAAATCACCACAAACTTTGGAAAAACTATGAGAGTGTATGTTTGCTTGTAGAAATCGGCCACCTTTTTACACACACACTTAGTGCCATTTCAAGCATCATAATCTCCTTTATATAGTGTGGGGAATTAGGGTTACATCCATGTAAACCCTAATACCCATGACTCTTCCTTTCCAAGGATCCATGGGTTAAAAGCTCCATGGACTATCCATGGACTCCCATGCATGCCAAACCCATTCCAAATGAGTATTAGCCCACACTTATATAAATACAAGAGCCCATATTTAATCACCTTTTTGATCACCAAATTAATTCTAAATTAATTTATGATCAATAATAATTAAATAATATGATTTCATATTAATATATTATAACTTATAATATATTAACAAATCATAAAAATACAATTCTCAAAGGTTTAACCATACAAATAGTTCGGGTGAAGTGCAACCCAAATGGACCATGCCGGGTCGGGTCAAGTATATACCAAATAAAGTTACGGACTTAGACACCATATCCAATATATATATATATATATATATATATATATATATATATATATATATATATATATTATATATAATATATATATATATATATATATATATATATATATCTATATATATATATATATATATATATATATATGGAGAGGTGTTCACGACCCAACATGGGTTCACAGTCGTGAACCTAGTTTGCGGTCGTGAACACCCTTTGATGAGTTTTCTGGTTCGATTGCATTCCTCTAATCCCAAGCTAACACTTCTCAACACCGATTCCTTAAGTGTACTAGGCTTAGAGACTCTGAAACTGACCCTAATCACCGAAAAACGATAGCAGAAACAAGTCTGACTTTTTATTGATCGAGTTGACTTACATATAGAGAATCTCGGGTCGTCACATATACTATACATTACTGGTGGTAGCCAGGGTTTTCATATAGAACATACTATACATTACTGGTGGTAACCAGGGTTTTCATACCTAAGAATACTATACATTACTGGTGGTAGCCAGGGTTTTCATACAATACATTACTATACATAACTACTGGTGGTATCCAGGGATTTCATACAAGAGTTTTCATGCAAAACAATATTATACAATACAATACAGCTAGTGGTAACCAAACATACATACCAATACTTTCATACACAACTACAGAATACAGTAACGAACATACATTTTGGGTCTTAGGGTTTAAAACTACTTTACATTACTAAAAAAAATATTGGATTTTCTTGAGAAACATACAAACATTTTTCACAGATTCAAAGACAAGTGTTCATTACAAAATCATTCTTATGAACTCACCAACTTAAATGTTGATACACTTTCAAAACTACTTGTATTCTCAGGGAACCGGTAGACAGGTACACCCGCAGGTTTTGAGAAGACGGAGCTTATAGAGTCGCGTATTTTATACTTTTGTTATACATTTTGTTGTCGTACAAATTATGTATCGAATAGATGTAAATACTTTACCTATTCAATGTAATGATTGTGTTTACTTTGATTACTATGATGTAATTGTTGTGACACTGTACATGACATACTCCACCCCCGAACGTTTCCGCCGTTCCGGTTTGGGGGTGTGTCAAGGTCGGGTGTAGTCGATGGCTTTTCGACCAGTGACGAGTTCAAGGAAAATGAGTCCAAAATTGTACACATCTGAATCAAAGATTATTGGGCCTTCAGGGGGACAATGGGTATATGTGCCATCTACCCTAAAAGAAGGGCATGAGGTTATATTGTCAAATGGAGTGTGTTTTCCAAGCTTAAAATTTGACAATTTTGGGTGGTATTCTTCATAAAGAAGAATGTTAGATGGTTATAGGTCTCTGTATACAACAGGAGGGTTTGATGTTTTGTGAAGATATTCCAAACCCTTGGCTACACCAACTACAATCTTCATCCTTGTGTTCAAGTCTAATGGTTTTTGATCTCGCAAAAGATTTACAAATAAACATTTATAAGGTGTTATTTCTTTTTGTATTATTGGATTTTTGGTTTATTTGAGAAAATTGAACCATTTTGTGCTTAATGATTCCAACCTCTTAATGGTTAAGTGAAGGCAGGGTTCATTACCCGTTCACATGATTTTGATTTGTTCGGAGGCTGTATCAAATGTGCTCAATGCTAATCGATTCAGACATTTGAATGGTTTCATTCAGAAGTTATCAAGTAGACCCTTAGTTGGGACAATGGTGTTTTTTTGACTTAATCCAAAAAGAACCGATTAATACAAAAAGTCTAGGAAATCAGGCTTTACCCATTGGGTACTAACCTTTTTGTTTTTTTAACAAATTTTCCCTCATTTATATTTTTTTCTTCCATTTTCTCAAGTGTGTTGTCATTTTCTCACATATTTTTTAAACATCGTTTTATCCAAACACTACTTTATCTTAAAAAGAAAAAATAAATCACATTTCATCCCGACATCCCGACTGTATAAATAGTTTTCGATTTTGGTCAAAAAAGGAAGCTATTTGTTTTTATTCTTGTGGCATTTTTTACCTTTTTGAGGAAGACATGGTTAACAGAGGAAGACATGATACATGACCTTATTGTCCCCATTCTCTCTCTCTCTCTCTATATATATATATATATATATATATATATATATATATATATATATATATATATTGTTATCATCATACTATAGGGATTAAAAAAAAATTAAAAGTATATATTTTCGGAAAAAAATCCAAAAAAACCACTATACCGCAGGCATAAAATGAGAAGTTTGATCTTAAGCATCGACCCTCTAATTTCATCCGTATAAAGGGTATTTTAGATATTTGATTAATATTTAAAACTCAGAAGGAAAAAAAGGCTAACACAGTCTTACCATGTAAATGATCTTTGAGTGATCCCAAAGGCACAAACTCGTGGACAAGGAGAAGGTGGTCTCCATGTGCACAATAACCAATCAAGTTTACAAGATTTGCATGGCGAAAAAGACTAAGCTTAATAACCTCTTTAAAAAACTCTATGATTCCTAGATCACAGTTTCGATGAAGATGCTGCACTGAAACCACCTACAAACAAATTCATCTTGATACCTTTGTTAAAAAAAAACAAAAAAAACATTATGTAGATTAAAATTTTGGCAAATTATATTGTCATTTATGTTCATTGTGTTAGAAATAAGGTGGTTACTTCCTACAAACTAATAAGGTGGTTACTTCCTACAAAGATCAATTAACGCCAATTAAGTTTTCCTCATCAACTATTGGTAGAGAAAATAAGAACACATAAAGGTATTATTAATATTTGTTGATTCCTCCATATCAATCTCCTAAATGGCATCATTAAACGTTGCTAAATCATAATTGATAATACTTACACGATCAAATTCTTGTATATGGCATATATGTATAAAGATCCTGTTTTATGTGATTAATATTGAATGATATAATGAACATGAGATCTTTGAGTATAATTACCTGTTGGGTTCTTTCCAAACGACCTTTATAAACACACCCAAAATCACCTTCTCCCATAAAACTCTCAACACAAAAATTCTTAGTTGCAGTAGCAAGCTCACGAAAAGTAAATTGTACAGCACCATTTGCTATTTGTCCATCTTTTGTGACTGCATTATCACCAAATTTAAAATCGTTTACACAAAGTTAAGAAAAGGCGTCAATTTTATCAACTATGTTTTTGAGTTTCATCTTAAAGCCCAACTTCCACGCAAGCCCATATAAACAAGGGCAAAGTACAGAAAAACGCAACACATTTTAACAATTTACGATTTTGCCACTTACTATTTGTTGTAGTGATTAAACCCTTATACTTTTTTTATGCTAGCTAACCCGATTGTAAAGAAAGTAAATGTTACTATATGTTAGTATATAGTCCTATTTCTTTATATTTAGTCTTTGTGTTGTATACTAGGCTAGGCCGATAAATACTGTCTTGGTTCTAATAATATAGACTTAGTTCTAATACTATAAAAAACACAACGTAATTTAAACCATATTATCAATATAACCACCAAACTATTTTTTTTAAGATTACTATCATAATAGTTATATGGTTCAATTTATAAACATGATACTAATTCAATTATCATAATTAGCCATTTTCATATATAAGGCCGACAGCAAGAAGTAGCAGGTTTGGTCTACATATTATACATACAACAGAATGTAAATACTCAATACATAAAATCAGAGAAACAATTCAAAATCATCATCATTGAAAAATTGAGGATGCTTGTAACCAAATAAAAAAAACCAGTCCAAGAGTTATAAGAACAAGATTAGAGTTTAGAGACGAGAAAAAGTGTTTGTTACCAGAAATAAGTATGTTGGGATGATGAGGGTATGAACCCTTTTTCCAATAATCCTTCTTTGGCAATTGCTTTGCATCATTCACTTCTTGGTTTGATGAAAAACACCCACCCATATCAAAATCAAAACTTTTTGGCAGATTATAGTTTATCGGTTAATTACTTAATTGTAACAATGTAATCGATCACTAGTTCAAGACAAGAGCAGTAGTACTCTTCGACTGAGGGAATAAAGATATCAACTTTGTTCTCACAATTCTTTCTACGATTCTCAAAAAAGAGATGTTCACCCACGGGAAAGTGTGGTTTAACAATCAGTTCGAGAACAAAGAATAAAAAAAAGAGGACGAAAAAAGATTAGAAGAACAAAGAATCACCCAATCGAAGAATCTATCAAAGTAATATAGGAAAACGGCAAAGGGAAGATAAAGTATGAGTGAGGTAAATTCTATCCGCAAAAGAGTCCACATGCATTCTTATTGTTTTTTTTTGTTAAACTTAAACATAACTGTCAAATACGTTTAGTTCCTTTATTTCATTTTGTTACATGGGTGGTCATTCAGACATTAAATACAACTTTGAGTTGCTACTATTTTTTAATATGACAACTATGTTTTGGACGAAATCTGAAAAATAAAGTACACATCCAAGACATTTATGAAATAAACGTGAAATCATGCAGAATCATATACACACATACAAAGGCATAGTATTTAACGTGGTTCGGATAATGTGACCACAGCATAGTATTTAACGTGGTTCGGATAATATGACCACGACATGAGGGAGTATTCTTATTCTCTTGGCTCAAATAAAGTAACAATAGAATCAAGTCAGATCAAAGACTACACAAAAGACTCTCCAAAGATGGTACAAAGATCATCTATAATTCCTAGCTAGCATTTTCTATTTATAGACATGAAACCCTAATGGGCCAGACCCATCCATTCATATGCAATCACAAGTCGCCATGCATTTGCTTTAGAATCTTTAACCTTCAGGGATGTGCATGGTAACCTGCCATACACCTAGGATACCTTTGACCAAAGAAAGCATCTTTGCTCCAAGAGAGCACCTTTACTTGAAAAGAGCACATTTATATAGGAGCACCTTGACCATGGATAAAGTGTATTCTCTATGCATGAAGGCTGAAGCGCATTCTTGAAGATCCAAGACCATTCCAGTGTCAAGCACCAACAAAGCGCATCCTCCACTACTAGAAAAATGGGTATCAGCGACGAACAATTCGGTCGCTGATAAGGCTATCAACGACGGATTTTGGTAGTCGAAAAAACCCTTGTCGCTAATTGTCAGCGAGGGATTCAACGACGCCACAATTGATCATGGAACCTCTCAGATTCCGTCGGTAATCCGTCGTTGATGTCTGTTGCTGATGAGTTATTTAACTACAAAATAACTTGTCGGGAAAGCTCAGAAAACCAGTGGATTTCGTCGCATTCCGTCGCTGATTGTCATTTATATCATTAGTTTTTCTATTCTAAATCTAGAACCAAAATTTACAAAATAAATTTAATGTATATAATAAACTAAATTAAATATTAATATTTGACTAGCAAAATGAAGATTAACATTCAATTTTAAAGTATCAAAACCATATCACATTCAAAGTGTCGAAACTAAATCACAAAAATCAAGTGTCAAAGTCTAAATCGATTTCAAAGTATTGAAACCAAGTTGTAACACCCATAAAATTTGAGCCAAATTAAAACATTTGATTTCATTCAAAAACCATTAAGTTCATACATCTTGTTTTCAAAATAGTTTAAACATAAGAGTATCCCCCAGAACCATACTACATAAATCAAAAACATGAGGAGCGGTACGATCACGCCTTCGCCTTGCCACGATCTCCTGAAGTACCTGAAACAATACACTGAAACTGTAAGCCCGAAAGCTTAGCGAGTTACCCCCAAAATACCAACCACACATGAACATACTCATAACATATCACAAATAGAACATCCATGCACATCGGGTCTACTGTGTGACTGGTCCGCCCGCACCGGGCCTTCAGTCCACCTGGTCCACCCTCCGAGTCTAGCCATGTACATCGAGTCTACAGTGTGATTGGTCCGCCTGCACCGGGCCTTCAATCCACCTGGTCCACTCTCTGAGTCTACAGTATGACTGGTCCGCCCGTACCGGGCCTTCAGTCGGCCTGGTCCACTCTCCGAGCCTCGGCAAGTCTGGTCCGCCCTCTTGGGGACTTCAGCCTATCCGGACCGCTCGCTGGGCCTTCGGAATATCCTGTCCGCCCTGGGTATGTTGGCCTACAGCATAAAGCAGGACCCGCCTCAACCCAACCCTCGTCAAACAACCATGTGCACATAAAACAATCAATCACATAACAAATCCTCAACCAGACTATCAGTCTAACAGATCACATAGCATATCAAAATCCTAACTAGGATTCCGACCTAACTGGTCACTAGTATAGCATTACCCTATATACCGGGTACCGACCTTAACCAAGTCACTAACATAACACCATCCTAATTACCAGGATGCAGATCTAGCAAAGCAATAACATAACCAACAATACCCAGATTTCCATCCAATAAAGGGCCGGCCTTGGTGCCGTAGACCCTGTCGATATAGTGAGGATAACTCACCTGCAATTGCCGACTGAAGAGATACGACCAAGCTGCTCCGACCACCGACACGAACTTCACCACAACACACTACCAAAGATCCAATACCAAAATTACCAAAATACCCTTGGAAGTCAAACAGGTCAACTCTTGGTCAAAGTCAAAGTCCTCAGTCAAAGTCAACCTTCCTGGTTGACTCTACTCGCCGAGTCAACCCGTCGACTCGTAGAGTTCCTATACTCAGAAACTCCCATAACACGACTCAACTCGCCGAGTCGCCCCAAGACTCGTCGAGTCCAACGATCTCCGAGTCCCATCTTGTCCAACTCACTGAGTCGCCAACCGACTCACTAATCCAAAGCTTTAACCACAAGAGGTTGGGTTCTGCGACCAGACTCGCCGAGTCCAAGAACAGACTCGCCGAGTCCAAGGCAATCTTCAACAGACTCGCCGAGTTGTTCTTCCAACTCGCCGAGTCCATGCACATGTTCATACAACTCGTCGAGTACACCCATGTGACTCGCCGAGTCTCTCCAGTTCTCAATCCATTCAGAAGCTTTTCGAGCCATGCAGAGGCTCCAATCCATAGATCCACCCTTCTACAATCTAACCCTCACATAAAGTTGCAAACTTTACGTGAAACCAAGGAGATATGGGCCCAAAACACACTAGGGCTTGGGTTTTAGACAAAGGGGCTTCACCAACAACTCAAAGACTGAAGCTTTATGAGATTCTAGGCCATCATGAGTCTAGATCTGGAGTAGCAACCTCAGATCTAACTCCAAATCCGAAATAGATCTCAAAACAAGCTAAAGAATTCCCAAAACAACCACCAAGGATGAACCAAAAAGGAAATAGTTTAAGATAATGGCTCCTTACCTCAGAGATGTGCCCAAAACTGATGTAGATCCCAGATCTATACAAGCCCCTTGATGCTAGCTTCCAATTTCTCAAGCTCCTTCCACCAATTTCCTCTTCTAAGCCCCAATCTCCTCAACAATGAAGCCTCACACGAAATTAGGTTTTTCTGGAACTCTCTGGGGGATTAGGAGGCTGGGAGAGGGACATAAAGTCCTTTAAATAGGGTGCAAACCCTAAGATTAGGGTTTCCTCATTCCAGCACCAACTCGTCGAGTCCAGCTTCCGACTCGGCGAGTTGGTCACTTAATTCGCGATCCAAACCCGCTCCGACTCGGCGAGTAAGCGTACCTACTCGTCGAGTCCCTTCCCTTATTTACACTTAGCACCCTTCACTTCTTGTTCCGAACTTGGGACATAAAATCCTCGAAGCCTGCGGCAACACAAACTTCCGGATGATTCTTCCCCAATGCATCCATTGATCTCAAACCGACCCAGATTCCTTCAAACATAGTTATCGAATCCCTAAAATCCATCTCTTCCCTTGCAGGGTCCCGATCAACTGCTTCAAGCCGGCCACCGACTTCTTTTCTCTGATGACAACACTCATCAACTAAGTGCCACCTGAAGACACTACCTTACTTCCGTCTTACGTATTCATTCGCAACCTGTGAAAACTGGATACCACAACACCCACTGAGCTCTGCCAAGACACTAATCCATCTTCCTTCGCCCAAGATTGGCGATAACCCTGATAACTTGCAACCTGGAACGAATCCTCATGATGGAATACCCCAGATTGGAATACCTCCACATACATAACTCAAGCCTACAACCATACTCGGAACTAAGGACCTTGTCCTTGCGTTACCCTCGAACCCTTCGGTTCGACTACTCCCGAGTCTGTTAACCTGCTGTCTCACCTTCCTTTGTCCCAATCTCCAATCTGGAACCACTTTCCTCTTCCTCTTCCAAGGAGACTGAAACATGCCTGCGCATCATCCAACATCGCCACAGCCTCAACGGGCATCCAACCCGTATGTGCTTCCATATCTCTGGTACAATCCCAGTGCTTACTACCAAGCACTTTCGATCATCCATTTACTCCACTGCCTTCCTTTCAGAGGACCCAAACTCCTTCCGGAGCTACATACCTTCCCTTTCCAGGAAGTCTACTCAACAACCCTTACCGCACCTATAAGTGCCACAGAGCTAAACTCCACTCTACACTATCCATGTAGAGCAACTGCTATTCTCGAACTCCCATATACTCCGAATCCGATCACATAACTAACAAGGCCCATGCATGGCCTCCAGCCAACATCATCATCATGATCAATACTTGGGGCCAGACCATATCGATTACTATTGCATGGCTACATATTCACTCATTCTCCGCATACAGATCTACTAACACATCCAGAGTCTTCAGCATGACTGGACCGCCTTACCAGGCCTTCAGCATATCTGGACCACTCTCAGAACCTTCAGCATGTCTGGACCGCCCTCCTGGGCCTTCAGCCTGTCTGGACCGTTCCCCGAGCCTTCGGTCTGACTGGTACACCTTCCGGCCTTCAGTCTATCCGGACCGCTCAAAACTGTCGTACGCCATCCTGAACCATTCTTCCTGGGAATCTCTCCCATGC